CTCAAACAACCTCTAAACATATTTTGATTTGAAATATATAACAAATGGGCTATTAGCTGAAATCCGCCTGGCAGCCTAAGGCAGTAATCACATACATAAATGTTTAAATATGTATTTATTTATGCTAACCTGCTTGAGGTCTTGGGGGCCTCTTACAGGCTGGCGCCCGGCAGCAGATGTGGCCCACACCAAGTGACTGACAATCGGAGTTGCGCAGACAACCGGCATGGCAGCTGGTCGGCCAGCTTTCAAGAAGCGGACAAACTAAATCAGCCTGTCCAATCGCCAGGCGGTCTGCCCTGCGCAACAGGTCGGCCGCGAAGCTACATATATCCAAACAAGTATTCCGAATCCCTTCACTGCGACTATTTGCGTACCTCTCGGCCGCATGAGTCTGCCATTGAGTTAGATTAGGTGACAATGTAGAGATGAAAATAGGCAGATAAGAGTCAACGACGTATACTAACAGATCAGATAGTGATTTGTCTCAAAAAATCTTAGCTAAAGAAAAAAGACTAAAAGTTGATATAAAATGCAAATTTTTAGAGACAATGAGTTGATCTCAGTCGAGAGTTGATAATTTTGCCAGTGGTATCTAGTATACAACAAGTCAATTACTGCTGCCTAATCCAGGCTTTAGTCAGGCCGATTCAAGTAATGGAAATGGGATCGCGGAAAATGTCCTCGAGAAGAGCTAAACGAGCATACGGGTATCTGGATAAGCTATTGGAAGTTGTTAAAAGCCAAGAGATAGAAGGGTAGTGCCCAAGCAGTCGTAGCAATGTTCATTTATCTTAATATGAACTGCTGAGCAAAAGTATTGCTGAATGAGTAGCCACTTCTCGTAATGCGAAGAAGGACAGTCTAATATCAGGGTTTCACTCGGCCACTTTCTCGTCTTTGAAGGACTGGAAGAGCCGTGCAGCCTCGTTTCAGACTTGCATAAATAGCGTCCCGGAAAAGCCTGGACAGGCAAACAAAACGGAAACGGAGTGGGTCCAAGGAACGTGTGGCCCTTATTTATTTCGCACAATTAGACTTAGAATATGGTCTTGCAAGTATTCTCAGGGTTAAAATCACCCTGCTATCTTGCATGCTAAGATATTTGAGATATATTAAGGACAGGAATCAAAAATGTAATAAATCAAGTATTCTAAAATCGAGTAATTCGTTATAAAGAAGAGTAT